GGTGATCAAAGAGCCAGCCACTGAGTTCATGTCACAGACAGCCCCTGAACCCCTTACTAGGGGACCCAGGTAGCCCTGGCTGTCATGGAACTTGCTTTCTATACTAAGCCATGAACTCAGAGAACCAACTGCCTGCCTTTGCTTCTCAAGTGCTGGGATTAGAATTTTTGAGTGTAGAAGTCTTCAATATCTGTTTGTTTGTTTGTTTGTTTGTTTGTTTTGAAACAGGGTTTTTCTGTGAAGCCTTGGCTGCCCTGGACTCACTTTGTAGACCATGCTGGCCTCAAACTCACAGAGATCTGTCTGTGTCTGCCTCCTTGAGTGCTGGGATTACAGGCATGCACAACCATACCTAGCTTTTCAATATCTTTTGTTAAACTTATTCCTGATATTTTTACAAAATTTAGTAATGTTTTCCAACAGTTGCTCTGTGAATTCTCTTGAGCTTTAAATCTAAACAGTGCTGACCTTTACAAATCGGAAGAGTTTGATCTCTTTCCCTCTTCCCTTAGGCCTTCTCCATTGCCCTGCTACTTCCATTTCCTTGTCCCTTTCTACCTCTCTTCAGTGGCTAGGTCTTCCGGTGTGGTGGGGAGTAGAGGTGATAATAGCTGGACATTCATGCCACATTCATTCTTAAAGAAAATGATTCATTCTTCTATAGCTAAGTGTAAATATTAGCCACACAGGTTCATAAATGTCCTTGGTTCATCCGGGAACTTGTTAACTGTTAACAGTTTGTTAAGAGGATTGGTTTTTTTCTCCCCTGCATTTGTTGAAGTGATCTTTTGAATTTTCTCCTATAAACTGTTAATATCTTGATTTATGTTTATTCATTTATTTATTTTAATGTTCTTCCTTGCACTCCTGGGGTATGTTTTGCTTGGTAATAATGTTTTACCTGTATTTTCATTATCGGATTTTTTTAGTGAATGCTTTATAAAGGGTTTTTACGTAAGCAGTTAGAAGTAGTATTGATTTATAATTTTATTATAAGAACTTCATCAGTAAGGATTAGGCTGTTCTTAAAAAGCTAGTTAAGTACTCCCTTCTCTTTTTTCTTGTTTTGGATTTTCAAGACAGGATTTCTCTGTGTAGTCCTGGCTGTCCTAGAATTCGCTAGCGATCCACCTGTCTGTGCCTCCCACATTCTGGGGTTTAAGGGTGCACTGCCCCGGGGCAGCATATACACATGTGCCTCAATGCCCAGCTTCCTGGCTTGTTTGTTTGTTTGTTTTCAAATATTTGCATATTTAAAATTTTTTCCCCTATGTTGACAGAATTTACCAGTAAAACTATCAAAGCTTTTATTGAAGAATATTTAACAAACAACTTTGTTAAAGAAGTCTTGTATGTGGGTAACTGAGATCTGGGCAGTTTCAAAAGCAATGAAAAAGGCTTTGAAGAGTTAGAGCTTATAAAGATTGTCCAGCAATTTAAGGTGTCTGATGCCAGCTGGAAGCCAGCCAGGTTTTCACTACTGGTCGACTTCCAGCTAGCTTTCTCGAGCTTTGGGAAAGTGGCATAATGCTTCTAGATCCAAATAGTTTTTTAAAAACTGTTTTTCTTAAACTATTGAAAAAGTTGTTCCTATGGTCTTTAATTCAAGGCTGATCCATTTAGTTAGTGGCCAAGTGCCTTCTGCACGAGTATAAGGCCCGTAGAGCCTCAGCGCCCAGCTCTGGGACACACATGCCTGTAACCCCAGGGTAGGGGGTGGAGGATGGGGTATGCATAGAGGATAAGAAGCAGGTGGCATGGGCAGTGTGTACCTGGGCCACACCCCTTAGCGATTCCACAGTTCGCGTGGCTAAGGACCGCTTTGTAGAACACACAGAAAAAGCAGCAGCAGAGGCCTCAGGTGGAAAGAAGGAATCCAAGTAGAACAAGGACTGTGCGGAAGGCAGGGTGGTGGTGCATAGTGCATAGTGCGGAGCCAAGCAAGTGGCAGGCAGCCACCGTAACGTGTCCTTGGCACAGTCTCCTTGAATATGATCCGGGGACCCCAAGTATTCGCTCTAGTTTACTTGGTCCCATTTCAGCTGACGCTTGTCACCCAAGCAAAAGGGAGAGACTGATTTCAGCGTTCGAAGGACAGCTTTCCGCAGCTAATGGGCATTGTGCTCACACAGGTGGCTCCTAGGCATTTCTCTGATGCTCCATAGAGCAGGGGCTGAGGTTCCAGAAGTTCGCGCGGGCTGGAGTGTGGGAATGAACCCTGGGTACCGCCTGAGGACCAGGGGGGGCTCCAATAGAGGGCTCCTTGCAAGGATCTTTGGAGCCCCCTTCAGAGAGCAACAGGAATCCTAGTGATCAGGGTCTCCAGAAAGAAAACGAAGCTGCTTGCACCTACTAGCCCTGCCCTCGTCCCATCTGCCTCCTATGGGATGTAACTGACTACCCAGGCAGATGTTCCTCAGACCCAGAGTCTGGTAAAAGTCCTCGGAACTTTTGGCAGCCTGCTTTACCCAGATTGACCAAATCCTGTGAGTACCTGGCTGAGAACCTTACTCTTATTGTGAGGATGATAACTTCTGCAAATACCTGTTGATTCTTGTTTGACTTCTGGTTGCCTGCCTCTTTCCTAGTGGGCTTCTAGCAATACTGGTTTCTGGTTCCAGGTGTGGTCTTGCTTCTCATAGGAGGAGCAATGGTGAGCCCATTGGCTGTGGCGTTTACTCACTATGGTAAGTGCAGAATTGACAGCTATTGCGCTAGTAGCCCAGACTGGGCTGGAGTAAATAAACAAACAAACAAATAAATAAATAAATAAATAAATAAATAAATAAATAAATAAGAAATGAAAAATAAATAAAATATATTTATTAAAAAGAAAACTAAATAAATAATGTAACCATAAGAGCTTATAGTTCTGATGCAGGCATAAACCTAAACAATTGTAAAATTCAACTTAAGTAAATCTGTAAAACCAACATAAATTCAAATCTGTATGGATATGATAGTGACCCAGACTTGAAGCAAAGTCTCTCTGCTGTTATTATGTGGGTTGGTTGTGTTGCTACACACTGGTAGACATGTGCTGAAGAGATGGGGGCAAGAGGATCATGAGTTTGAAGCCTGTCAGCTTATACCTTTGAGGCTGGAGAGGTGGCTTAGGGATTGAGCTTGTACTACTCTTGTAGAGAAAACAAATTTGGTTTCCAGAACATAAGGTCAAACATTGTACTTTGTGCAAGTACTTCAGTTTCCTCCCATTTACAAAATTAAGGCACTAATCTAATTCAATGAATCAAATTAGAGTTACTGAATAATTAGGTTGTTTATATGTCAAGCTCTATAACAGTGCCTGACAATAGTAATTGACCAATAAATATGAAGTATAATAATAAGCGGTGTTCCATTGTTGATGTACAAGCGGGTAGATGGAAGCTGGATGGTGGAAATGAATCCTGGATTCACTGCCCGGTGGTCATGGCTCACGTCTTTAAGCCCAGCACTTGGGAGGCAGAGTCAGGAGGATCTCTGAGAGTTTGAGGCCAGCCCAGTCTGTAGAGCTAGTTCCAGGACAGCCAGAGCTATACAAAGAGACACTGTCTTTAAAAACGGGGGGTGGGGATGGGGGAATAGTGTTGCCAGGCAGTGGTGGCTCATGCCTTTAATCCCAGGGAGACAGAGGCAAGTGAGTCTGAGCTTGAGGCCAGCCTGGTCTACAGAACAAGTTCCAGGATAGTTAGGGCTACAGGGAGAAACCCTGTTTTAAAAAAGAAAAGAAAAGAAAACTCCAAAACACCCAAGCCTATAGATGGTGCTGGGCTTAATGTTAGCACATCTGCCTCTGTAGTTAGTGATTTTGAATTTAATAGTGCATGAAATGTCTCTTGCTTAACTTAACGTAAGAGTGATGCTACAGCTTCAGAGGCTTGCATTCTAATGTAGGGTAATCATATCTCACACATAAACAGACTCTTTGAGCCAGGACTCCTTTGGTTTTAATTTTCAGTAGTGTGTCACTTGTTAACTCTGTAATGTTGAGTATCTATCCCATCAGCCACATCAGGTATGGAAAAATACATGTGAAGTCATTTTAAGTTCTGAGAATAACCAGGGCAGGTAAGGCATGCATTAAGGTCTTTGTGTCTTCCTGTTTACCCTTTCTTATTACCTGAAGACTCCACCTGTCCTTTCCACTTTTCATCACCATCCTTTCTGTCCTTACTTAGGACCCAGCCAAGGACTTGGGGCCACCGACTCTGATTCCTACCCTGTAAGGAATGGTTTATTCTTGTTTTAGCCGTATATCCTTGGGGCGCTCAGAAGGTAGACTACACCTCTAACCTGTTACCTCTAACTGGAATGGATGGTGTCATTTCAGGAATTTGGAGTGTGGCTAGAGAGCCCCAGGCTGCCTGTCCTTGCTGCTTTGCCCACCACCTGCTTCCACAGCAAGTTTCCTTCTATTCTGTCCTTCCTTTCCTGGAAGAATCTTTCTCAGTGCTAAGTTTGTACTTCAGTCTCTCCTTGGTTCGCAGCTGTATTGTTTTCTAGCCTCTGGCATGTTGGCTTTCCCACTCTGATGTTCTCCCTTCAGCCAGTCCGCACTTTGTTCTCAACTCTGCTACAGTAATGGAGTTTACTAGACGACATTAGAAGAGCAGCCCTCTTGGTTAGTGCAAGTTGTGCACACGTGTCATGAAGGACTGAGCAAACCAATCTCCTGTTACTAGGGAAGGAAAATACACCATAAAGAAATGTCTCCCTGCCCGCCACATGCTCCTCTCTCTTCATCGTTTGTTTTCTTCTTTGCAGGAATTGTTATAGCAGTCAAGGAAACTAACAGATTTTTCTTCAGGTTCCATCCTGTGCGGACAGTTAGCTGCTTCCACCTTTCCCATCCCTGTTCGTATGCAGTGCTGATACCTGCGTGCAGCTTAGAAGTGCTTTTCTCTTTATTCCAAGTGATTATAGTTGGGAAAAAATGAACTGTGATGTGGGAGTGTCTTGGGTAATAACAGCCTCTCGTTTTGATTATTTCCCTTTAGGAAAGACTCTGCCGATCCTGTAACATGGAGGATTGTCTTCATACCTCATCTGAGAATCTGTCCAAACTGGTCAGCTGGGCCCACAGCCATGGGACCATATGCAGCCTCATTCCGAACCTGAAACACTTGCTTTCCGAAGGCTCCCACGGGAACCTGACTGCAATGTGGGGCTGTAGTGCTGGCCATGCCTACCACTGGCCGCTCACGGCTACTTGCAGGGCTGGATCCCAAGAGCGCGTTTGTTTCCAGGACAACCGAAGCTTTAATTCTGATAGTCCCAGCATGATTGGGGTGCCTTCTGAGACACAGACGAGCCCTGTGGAAAGGTACCCTGGGAGACCCGTGAAAGCAAAGCTTGACTGTAACCGGACCAGAGACTCTTGTGACTTCTCTTACTGCAGTGAGCCCTCTGAACTAGACGAGGCTGTTGAGGAGTATGAAGATGAAAACACACTGTTTGACATGGTTTGCGAGTCTTCTGTTACAGATGAGGACAGTGACTTTGAACCCCAAACCCAGAGGCCTCAAAGCATTGCTCGCAAAAGGCCAGGAATAGTCCCATCTTCCATCCATTCAAGTTCCCAGGGACAGATGGTTGATGAGTGCAGTAATGATGTCATCATCAAGAAAATCAAGCAAGAGATTCCAGAAGATTATTACATTGTGGCAAATGCAGAGTTGACTGGAGGAGTAGATGGGCCAGCCCTTTCCTTGACCCAGATGGCAAAGCCCAAGCCCCAGACTCATGGTGGTCCTTCCTGTGTAGGGCCTGGTAAACTGATTCCCCATGTAACATCTGCCATCAACACGGAACTAGACCCACACGTTATGTCAGCGTCCCCCTCTGTGATCTCCAGACCAGTCATCCCAAAGACTGCTAGGGTATCTCTGGCTTCTCCGAACAGAGGGCCTCCTAGTACTCATGGCGCTGCCCACCAGGTGACCACGCAGATGCCTGTGAGCACATCACACCCTAATAAACAGATCAGTATTCCTTTGTCTGCCCTGCAGCTGCCTGGACAGGATGAGCAAGTTGCTACAGAGGAGTTCCTGCCCCATATGCCAGGCCAGGTCTCATCTTGTGAGGTAGCTCTTTCTCCCTTGGTTAACACGGAGCCTGAAGTGAGCTCCAGTCAACAGCAGCCCCCTGTTGCTCCAACCATAACCACTGAAGCCACTGCACAGTGCATTCCAGGTATGGAACCTGAGGTGACCGCAAGTCCCTCATCTGCATACTTAAGAGAATTCTGCGCCGTCAGCACTTACAGGACAACTGGCTTAGTTTGCCAGGGTGCGGTTGTTTTCATTCTCGGGAAGATAGAAGTGGTGAAATACATTACATGTAAGGAATACTATGAAGGAACGCCATCTGAAAAAGACCATCCATTCAGTAGATGCACCTCAAGGCTGAGAGGGCAGCTAGGAGACTGTGCTGTTGATAGCTAGACTTCAGGTTCATAGCCAGCCTTAGCTGGTGCTGGTGGTGGTGGTGGTTGTTCTTCTTCCTCTTCCTCTTCTTTTTTTCTTCCTCTTCTTCTTCTTGCTTGTTTGTTTGTTTTTGGAGACAGGGTTTCTCTGTATAGCCTTGGCTGTCCTGGACTCACTTTGTAGACCAGGCTGGCCTACACAGAGCTCTGCCTGCCTCTGCCTCCCTGAGTCCTGGGATTACAGGCGTGCACCACCACACCTGGCAGCTGAACTTTTTATAGTAAATTTATTTTTGAAAAATTTTTTCTTCTATTTGTATCAAAGTAGTTAAGCTAACAGGTATTGAATAAGGCATATGATAATAGATTGTTTTTGTTATTATTTATTTGATTTAATTTTCTATTGCCATTCATTTTAATTAGTGTGATAATTTAAACTGATTTAAAAAGGCAACAGGTAACTTCATTTTTTAAATAAAATAATTTATTTACTTTTATGTACATTGGCGTTTTGGCTGCATGTATGTCTGTGTGAGGGTGTCAGATTTTCTGGAACTGCAGCTACAGACAGTTGTGAGCTGCCATGTGGGTGCTGGGAATTGAACCCAGGTCCTCTGGAAGAGGACTTAACCACTAAGCCATCTCTCCAGCCCCCAACAGGTAACTTCTTAAAAAAGCATCTGATCCTCTCTCTCAAAACTTAAAAGAATCAGATAAAATATATTTCTAGAGTACGCCAGCTTAGCTCAATGCATTCATATTGGCAGGAGTGTGGATTCATGATTACAACCTCTACAATTCCAATTCTAAATCTCTTTAATTCATATATTCATTGTTTACTTGAGTTAGGATATTGGGATATAAAGGGCATTTGGTGCCCATAGTTTTGGCTGCACAATTCAAATCTAAAAGGACACAAGGAGATATACGGACAAAGGGTGAACAGCCACAGAGAATATAGAAAGCCAAAACTATGGCACATTTAGTCCTTTGCAAAAGAGCCATGTGTTTGGGGGAAACATCTTAAAAGGAGGGAGGTACCTGTACCTTTGGCCTGAAACTTTCTAAAATTAAGTTGCTTTTACAAATACACATTTACAGTTTAAGTGTCAGTCCCAAAGGCTCCAAAAGAAACTTATCACTGAAGACTTTTCTCTTACAGTCCTGCTGTCAGTAATGACTCATACTGAAATGATTATGTCATCTAGTTGCTTTGAAAATTGTGGTAGTTGAAATATGATTCACATATCATAAGACACTTTTTTCTTTGTAAAATTTTATTTTATGAATGTTTGTGTGTGTGTGTGTGTGTTTGTGTGTGTGTATATGTTCATTCTACACACTTGCCTAGTGCCCAAGGAGGTAGAAATGAACATCAGATTGTGAATCATCACTAGGGTACTGGGAACTTAACCCAAGCCCTATGTAAGAGCAACATGTACTCTTTTTTTTTGTTGTTGTTGTTGTTTGTTATTATTATTTACATTTTATCAACTCTGCATCCCAGCTGCATCCCGCTCCCCCATTCCCTCCCAATCCCACCCTCCCTCCCTCAGCTTCTCCCTGCCCCTTTCCAAGTCCACAGACTAGGGAGGACCTCCTCCCCTTTCGTCTGGCCCTGTTTTATCAGGTATCTTCAGGGCTGGCTGCTAAGACCTCCTCTGTGGCCTAGCAGAACTGCTCCTCCCTTGGGGGGTGGGGAGTCAAAGAGCCTGCCCTTGAGTTCCTGTCAGAAGTAGTCCCTGTTCCCCCTACTATGGGAAACCAATTGGTTATTGAGCTACCACGAACTTCATCCGAGTAAAGGTTCTAGGTTATATCCATACATGGTCCTTGGTTGGAGAAACAGTTTCAGAAAAAAAAACCCTGTGCCCAGATATATTGGGTCCTTGTGGGGCTCCTATCCTTTCCCTGTCATACTAACTCCCCTTCTGCCAAAGGTTTGGTTGTGAGTCTTAGTATCTGTTTTGAAACTCTGCTTGGTAGGGTCTTTTAGATGCCTTCTGCAGCACTTTAAAGGAGCACTCTGAGAGATGCCTTAGTGGTTAAGAGTACATGTTGGTCTATACCAACCAACACATACTCTTAACCACTAAGGCATCTCTCAGAGCGCTCCTTTAAAGTGCTTTTTGGCCCCAAAAGAAGGCCCTATTCATCAGCAGTTACAGTTTTCTTCGCTCAGTTCTTGGCAGCAACTAATGTACTTTCTATGAACATTAGTGGTATGAACATTAGTTTCTGTATATTTTGTGTAAACTGTATAATCTTTCGTGACTACTCTGTCTTACTTAGTGTGGCATTTCCAGGATTAATCCCTGTTGGAGCATTTTTATTGCCAAATAACATTTTACTATAGATATGTCATACTTTTTCTTTAGTTGCTGGACAGACATTTGGGCTGTTTGCACCTTTGGTCTGTTTGCTACTATGAACATTTATATACAAGATATTATGTGAGCATTTACTTTGATTTTTGTGTGGACATGGTTGCTGGGCCTATTTTAAGTTTTATGTTCCCTAAAAGCCATTTGATTTTAAGTCTTAGCGCTAATGCACAAAGGTTTCTGTTAATATGTATGTCACCAACAATATTTTCTGTTTTAAAAATTGCTCTTTTACTCCCAAGACACAGGAGACAGAGACAGACAAATCTTTGTGAGTTCCAGGCTAACCTGGTCTACATAGCAAGATCTAAGCTACCCATGGCTACATAAGAAGACCCTGCCTTAAAGCATGCAAACAAAAAAAATGCTATGCTGTGTTGTTTGTATAAAAGTAGTCTTGTGATTTAACCTCCATTATTCTAGTGCCTAATGACACTCAGAATTCTTTCCCTGTTCTTATTGGTCACATATGTATAATGCATACACACACACACATATATTCATTTGAAACATTCAGATTCTTTGCTCATTTTACAGGTAGACCCTCCTTTCTGCTTTGATTTATAGGAGTTCTCTGTGTTCTGGATGTAAGTCCCTTATATGATTTGCAAATATTTTCTCCTATTCTCTAGGGTCATACTCTCATTCATTCATTTATTCATTTATGTATTTTTTCTCACTCACCTCTCTTTCTTGTCCCATCCCTCTCTCAGAGGATAGCCTTGAGATTCTGACCTTTTTTATACCACCTCCAAGGGCTAGAATTATAGGCACAACCATGCCCAGTTATGCTCTCTTTATTTAAGGGACTTTACACTTTAATTATTGTGTAATCCTGTAGTCATAGGCCAATCGTCACACGGTGGGACATGTGACTGTTAGGCAGCAAGCACCTTTGCACTAGGAAATCTAGTTCTTACTATATGGGGGATAAGCAGTACTTTTCACTGAAATCGTTGATTATCCCCTCCTCTTTTCTTTTTTTTTTTTTTTTTTTTTTTTAGTAGGAGACAGCCTGGCAGAGTTTTCTATATTTCCAACTTGTATTTAATGAAACAATTTAGAAATTGTTTTTATAGAGTCGCCTTTCACCAGCGTACTAAGACTGTTGCTCTGATCCACACTAACCTTGTAAAGCAAGTTGCAGGACCCACCTGTAAAACACATTTGAATGTAACTGTATGATTTGGAAAAGAAATTCAACCTATTTGAAAAAGACGTGGGGTTTTGTCATTGTTGTGGGGGTTTTTTGTTTTGTTTGTTTGTTTGTTTTTGAGATAGGGTTTCTCTTTGTAGCCCTGGTTGTCCCGGAACTCACTCTGGTCTAGGCTGCCTTGAACTCAGAGATCTACCTGAGTAGATCTGCCTGCCCAGTTCTGGGATTAATGGCATGGGCTGCCACCACCGCCCGACAAAGAAGTGGTTTTAATTCTTTGATTAGTACATGTAGTACATTAGGGTTCTTTCTTTATTGAACTTGCACTTCTTGTATCAGCTGTAAAAATTAGGAATGGCCAAAGATACCATGTAATGCATCTCTCCATGGACTGATCTGACTTCAGGAGGATTAGTTTGGCCTAGAGTAGAATGCTCAAGATGAAGAACCAGTAATAGCAGGTTTCTGAGATGGTTCTCATGTTCTGTCTTGCCATTCTGTTGGAAGATACCAAATTTCACCATGCTGTTGGCTTCAGAGAAACTATTGGACTGAAAACAGCAGTGAGATAAATAATAACCCAATTAACATTTCCATTTTATAAGAGTTACATAAACTTAACACAATTCACCTTTACTTCCTAGAGCCCAACCTAGGAGTGCTATGTTATAAATTTTAAAATTTAACTTGCTTATCTGTGTTTGTGCACTTATTTATAGTTGATGATCTCTCACACATGTAATTCCACATATATAAATGTATGTGATTACAGTATAAGTGGACTCTACGTAGGGAGTGTAAAAAGCACAGTTAGGACTATAACAAGAGAATTGCTCTGGGGAAAATGGCCAAAATTAAGAATAAGGCACTTGAACCCTGTGGAAGCTGGAGTCTTTACAGACTATTGCAGTAATGCTGCATGGCTTTATGAATTCTATTTTAGTAATAATCTGATAAGTGACTCAGTGAGTCAGCCTAAAACAAAGAGAAGTTGTTCCAGTTTTAGCTGTATCATGTAGTCCGTTTGAATACCTTAATAGTAAACTGAGAGTCACCATGAATATGCAGGTATTGCATTAAGAAAAAAAAATCAGAGCACTTCCCATTTATGTCATTTAACCCAGAGTGAAACCAGATTTGAATTCTCTACTTCACTGTCCCTGTCCCAGTCTGTCTGTCCTATGAGTCAAATTGTACCTGACTGAAGGCAGTCTTGTGAATTTGTCAC